ATCTATCTATCTATCTATCTATCTATCTATCTATCTATCTATCTATCACCTATCACCTGCATATCTAATCTATCTGTCTGTTTCTTATCTGTCTATGACAGAAAACAGTATATGCATCATTTAAAATTTTATTGCAAATAATAAACATATAAGGAGTCGTGATATCTAAAACAAAAAACAAAACAAAAACAAAAAACAACAGCAGTACATGAGGATTATCTGTAAGCATCTTATTGCACCTAAGAGTCTTCTGCTATCAATACAGAAAGAGCTGCTATCACCAAATTATATTACATTTAATTAGTAGATCTTCTGTCTGGCCACCTTTAAGTCCAACATGATTATTATTATTTTCCAGACAGTTCAGGGAAGCAACAGGTTGGTGTTGATTTACTGTCACTGTAATCAAAGCATTAAATCCAAAAGGAAAATAAATCTTTCAAGGAAAATGGACATTGAATGGGAAAGTAATTACTTTTATTGACATTCTTCAAAAAGAAGACTGCACTGCAGGCTTCCAAATTCAAAAACTACTACGTCGAAAAGTTGAGTTAAAATGTTTTGGCTTGTCACAAATAAATTGCAATCTAGGGATCTGGTTCAAATTTGAGATCCTATGCAGACCTATAAAATTAGAATGTGAAAAACAACCCAATAGGGTATATTGTGTATTTCCGTGCAACATTAAATTACAGAACTAGAAAACATTTAAGACTTACCATTATTTGGGAGTTATCCTTTCTTAATGGAACCTTAACAATCAGTACCTGAAAGAAAAAGAAATAAATTGAATTATTACCCACCTTAAAATATGCCTTAACTAGTATCCAAATTGTTCACACTTATTTTTAAAGAGGACTTAACACTCAAGCATCCTTACTAAAATAAAGTTCAAATAGAGTTAACAATTGAACTTTAATATCTGACAGATGAAACACCCCGAATATAAACATAGATGTAAAATATACAAAAAGGCTCTTTACTACTAATAATCAATTTTCAACACTGAGCTTTTACTTCTTAAGTCTGAAAACATATGACTCACAAACATCAAAATTCATGAGAATATAAAACTATTAAAGTAAGTCAACCATAGTTAGGTTTTTATGAAGTTAAGTCGTAAAGGTGTTACTGTGATTATTGTTTATTAATAAAATTATTTTAAGAATGAATTATTGGCTTGTAGACAAATGCACAAAATCCTGTCAATGATGTGTTCAATGTCTATAATTATATGAATATCCTTTTAAATATCAGGCTTAATATGAAAATCTAATGGGTTAGACTGCAGTAGTAAATCTACTCTTTCAAGTACATTTTCAACATTTAAAAATAAATCATTTCATAAACTTTGTTGATAACTCATTTATTTCCACTCTTATTTTATCTTATATCCATCCAAAATAATTTATGCATAACAGAGTAGAATAATTTAAAATGAAGTGAAGACTTGAGAGTTTTACAGATCACTTTCAAACTCTGTTCCAAGCGGCAAATATTAACAAGATGATTGATGGGCCAGTGCCGTTTTTCAGACAGCAGAATGTTAATGTAAGCAGTCGAAAGCATGTTTTCCTCTGTTGACCTAATTCATTCAGAGTTGGCATCATATTTGGAAACTCAAACATTTAGTAAGGCTAGTCTCCAGACCATGAAAATACAGAAAAGTTGAATGGAAAATTATAACCTGATGTTTCATCGTTTTCATTTCAAGCTGATACAGTCTACTTTTCTAACTAAAAGTATGTAAATACTTAAATTATATGTAAATGTATATATACACATATTATGTTTATTCAGTGAATAATTAATTTCTTTAAAATTTTTAACTTTACTGTTGTTCTGTGACTATGTCTGTGCTTGGGTGATGTGTATGTGTGAGTGTAGGTATACACATGCCACAGTACATGTGTGGAGGGAAGGGGTTACGTTGTTAAGTTGGTTTTCTCTTTCTGCCTTTACATGAGTTCCAGGGACCCAACTCAGCTCATCTCAGTACCTCATGTACAAGTAATTCTTGATCTGCTTTAAACTAATACTAAATATTGATAATAAAATCATTGTATTGCTAAGAACTGAGTACAAATACATTTACATTTATTGAATAAAAAGATATAAGCATCACTGGTTTGTATCTTGAAAAAGTCACAGGGGGAAATAACTCAAAATGCACAATTAACTGTCAGTGGCTATAATTTCCTTTTAAAAGCTCCTTAAGTAATGTCTTCTGCATATAAGTTTATCTTTGGTCTGTAGGCAGGAAAAGGTTATCTCTGTGGAGCACCAATTAATGATCCACTTTTTCTTCAAGACAGGGTTTCTCTGTAGCTTTGGCGCCTATCCTGGAACTAGCTCTTATAGACCAGGCTGGCCTTGAACTCACAGAGATCTGCAAGCCTCTGCTTTCCAAGTGCTGGAACTAAAGGTGTGCACCACCACCAGCTGGCTTATGATTCACTTTTTATACTGGCCATGATTCCAAATTCCTGATTTGAAAATTATACTCCAATGTCTTAATATTGGTCTATGAAGCTGTATATGAAACCTGGTAAATATCAAACAATAATTGCAGATAATTATTCATTGATTAGGCAGGAAGTGATCGGCTGGAAATCTGGCGCAATCAATTGTGTGACCAAACTTTTAGAAATAGCAGCATCAGGATAAGACAAAGATCTTAGAAGTTATAGGTCTAGAATTTCTTTGATCTGTTAACAACCCTTCTCTTGGAGGATTGTACTTTATCTGTTAACTACCAGCAAGCTCATCTTCCTCTGCGATGAAGCTTTCTTTAAAGACACATGGCCATATTCCTCAAAAAATAGGGAACAGAAACTTCCTCCAAATTACTGCTACTGGATATTTTGTTTTGTTCATGATTATTAAAAAATCCTATCCACCTTTGCAGCAATTGTTTTATAACTTCCTTTTTAGAGATTTTTGCCTTTTATTTTAATTCATTAAACTACCTGGTAGTGAATTGTATAAGAAAACACAAACAACTCCCAACTCTTTATTGTCAATGGTCAAAATATCAACAAACATTTCTAATTTCTTAAAGGAGCAAAAAAAAAAAATATTCCTTGTTAATGGAAAAGAAGACGGCTCAGAGTCAGGTGTTCCTCTTTGTAAGGGAACCTGATGTTGGAGGCATTCTTTCCGCTGTGCTTGAAATCAACAAGCTAAAGTTACAAAAGAGTATTTCTCCCTCACTCTAAATGCCATTTTGAACTGGCATGAAAGTGGTACTAATTATAGTAGTGCAGGCAAGCAGGAGAGCAGGGGAGCTGCCATGTTAAATATGGAAAAAGATTCAAATAAGGGGAGTTGGCAACCAACTAGTCTGGCTGCAGCACCACGCTGCTTGGCCTCAAGCAGTCTTCTCACTCCACCTAAATCATAAGAGGGTTGGGAAATGGAACACAATTTTCTCATGTGCCCTAAATAGGAAATCACAAATACTTGATACTTGAAGTATTTGTAATTCATCATTCACAATTTAAGGTGGGAATTTTTTTCTGTTTTGAGTAGTTTATCCTAAAGTTGTGGTATATCCTGAAAATATACTTTTTGAAAAAAAAAGGCAGAACAATTTAATTTGGCTTTAAATGACATTAAAATAAATTCTATTTGAGTGAAATTAAATCCGTTCTAATTGCCACAACTCAGAATATAAGCAGGGAAATCCAAATACATAAACTCTATGAGCAATCATTAAACTTGTTTTGTGCTGGAATATCCTTTACAATGTACAGAAAAATATTTTAATTTATATTGAAACACTACAATACACTATCAATCATTTATGTAAATTAGTGGAATGAACCATTTAAACGAGTTAAAACGTGGATCTCAGATCCACAGCTGTTCTTATTTACTTTGCCTGGTATTTGAGTGTGCAACCTACATTTTAAAATGTACCCACTTAATTCTGATACACAGTCCTTGAGTTCTGGGACCATATTATGAACAGTGATACTATGGCCGGTTAGCTTCAGGAAGCGTGTGCATGAACTAGACCTGGAAGAGATCAAGAAGTGGTTTCACTTTAGGGAAAGCTTTATTTACTTCCTAAAATTCTTTTAGGAATAATGTATCAAAAATACACACATAATGGTTCCCAACACATCTATAAATTCAACAAGGAAGGGAGATGAGGTTGGAGAATAACTATTAGCTCATTCTCAGCCTGGGCTTCAGAGTAAATCATGGATAGCATAGCATGAACTACAATGTGAAACTCGGTCTCAAATGAAACCCAAAGGAAAATTAAAAATTAAATTAAAAGCAAAAACGCAACAAAAGACTATCTGTTTTGATCTCAAGAAAACCCAACGGCAGTGCAGACAGTGCCTTCTTGTTCTGAATGAGAACTTCGAAAACCTGGTGTGTTTAGCCCCCATTTCAGTTACAAGGAACAAGGAGAATCCATTCTTTCCAAAGACTGCTCCTAATCCAGATTTGTAGTCCAATCTAGTCTTCTTTTCTGAACATGAAACTCATGTATCTAACATCCCACTTAGCATTTGCACTTGGAAAAATTCAGTCCACGCCCAAGATCAGACTCTAGGTTCCTCTGCAAACCTGTTTACTAGAAGATATTTCAGTCTTTATCAATGTTAACCACTCCTTAATTTACTTAATGCTCAAACCTTGGAAACCAAGTATGATTCATTTTTTGCACTATTTAGTTAAGAAGTATTTCCTTAATCACTTTTTATATCATTTGGCAGAGGCTGTGCTATCTTTTAAGAGTCCTAACAAAGTTTAATCACTTCCAAACACAATTTTGTGGTAAACAATAACTAAATATTTATCGTTGTGAAACATGGGGATGGAAAGGGAAGAGAAGGGAAGGGAAGGCAATACAAGGAAAGGGAAGGGGATAGGAAAGAGAAGGGAAGGGAAGGAAAGCGGAGGGGAGGAGAGGGAAAAGGGAGGAATAAAAAGTAAGGAAGAAGTCAGAGGGGGAAGAAGACAAGCAGCAACACAAAGAAGACACAAAGGAAGGAAGGCACAAAAATGGAAGGACAGAAAGAAGGAAGGGAGGGAAGGAGGGAGGAAGGGAGTGAGGAAGAAAGGAAGGAAGAGGGGGGAGAAGGGGAGAATGGAAGAGAGGGACAAAATAAAACCTAGGGATAACGACTCCCCAGGCCACAGCTTCTCAGTGTGACATGGTGCATGATTAGCAGTTGTGAGGAAACTAACACAGTGCCTGAGAAGGGATGAGTCCAGTAGCTCCTGGTACGATGGGAGTGGAGGATCCAAGCACATCATTTGAACTTCCCTCATCCATCCAGCACATATGACAACCTCTTTACCACCGCCCAGAAAACAAGGAGACCTCGATCTGATAATGTCAATGCCCTGCCCAAAGACTTCTGATGGACTCAGTAAGGTCTTAGATCTTGACCGAAGTTCATAGCGTACAGATGTGCATCCAGATTTTTCCTGGAAACACCTACTACCCATATCTGACGTATTTCCCTTAAACCACCATGGTCTCTTCTCTCATCTTTGAACTTGCCAAATAGGTCTCATGTCATAGTCCTTACACTTTCAGTTCCCCATGTTAGTGACACAGTCTCCCATTAGGTATTTTATTTTAGTCTTGACCTTTGAATAAATGTCACCTAAGAAGGAAAATCTATCCTTAGCTTGAGACATAAAATGGCACAATGACCTTCAGGGTTTAATCCTTCAGCTTGCTTTATTTTCCTTCACAGCATCTTTTGCCTCCAAGCATCTATGTATATATATAGATAGT